AAAGTTCAGTTATGATCCTAGTCACCAATTCAGTGTGTGGAATCCCTATTCAAAGTCTATATGTGCTGACCAAAAAAGAAGCAGCTCCTTTGCTGTGGTTTCTGATCTTCAGATGCAAGACAGGGCATGCATTTTAGCATGTGTAAATATTTACAAACATGTATCTGTGTGTACAGGCAGACTTTGATTTTTGTGTTTCCATCAGCATTTGTAAAACCATTCTTTTGAATATTTGATTTTTATAGATTATTAAATGAGGTATAGCATCCATGATGCATTTGTCTTCAGGGCTCCTCCTGGAAGGTGTTACCTACCCTGCGTTGGTTGCCTGTTCCTGACTAGAAGAAGCTTGGAGCAGATCATTACTGTAATTCTAAAGCAGAAATTGAACAGTGTATTTTCAGATGCGTAATCTGTGGGTTATCAAAAAAAGTCAGTGGTTCAGCAGTAATGTGAGTTGTGTCTGATCTGACAACCAGCGGGTCCTGTCCGTGCTGGTGGCCTTCCCACATCTGCATCTCTCATCGTTTGATCCCTCTGCCCAGTGCCCCTCTCATTCCCTACCCCTCATTTTTTGCATGTTATGAAGGATTATGTTTCAATGCCAGTATTTTGTAAAGGGTATGGGTTATTTGAGGTGCAGGCTGTACGTGCAAAGATACGATAGCTGTAAGCACAGTAGATGGCACAAGCTGGGTTGGCTGCGAAAGTGCTCTGCTTGTGGCTAATCTTTTGGTATTTTCAGCTGTGTACCAAAGACTAATCAGTTACAGGGGGCAGTAAGAGAGCTTGGGTTATTTCACATGAGGAAATTTGTGCACCAGGCATAAGGGACAGATGCGTGATTCTCCTGTGGAAGGAGAGGAGCCCTTGAGGTGCTCCTAGCTGCACCAGGGAACAGATGCTTGAGAAGCGCAAAGCACCCACGCTTGCTCCCTTGTGCTATTTTTCCATGGTTTACCACCATCAATTTGACCATCAATAATTTCATCTTCAGTTAATTAGGGTTTGTACCAGTGTATATGTGAGCAGATCCTGGGCCTGGCCCAAATTGGATCCTTTCTCCCCTTGCTTTCAGGTCAGGCTGTAGCTGTTTGGCTGGACTCAGCCTAGTAGCACACTGTTAATGGCAGGCTTGACTGCTCCTTTTTATTTATCGCTATTAAGTTCATCAGATGAAGCCAGAGCTTCCTGGGGCCATCCGAAGCCTCCTGGAGGGGGTACTCTCACAGGCAGATGTGGCTCCTGGAAGGCAGACGTGTGTCTCTGGGAGGCAGACATATGCCTCAGACTTGGATTGCTCCTTTTGGATTATGTGGTTGTAAGAGCATTTTCTTACAGTATATTTCCTTGGGGGAATCAGATGGACTTAGATCTCAGATACCATCCACGCTAAGTGATACAGTAAAAATAACCTATTATTCTCTGGTTCTGACCTGGGCGGTGACAACATATTGTTTCAGCATCTCTGTCAGACTATTTCCCTTAAGAGATATTTTAACCTCACCCTGTGGGACATAACTAAAGGAAATGAAACTCCAGCCCCATTAAGGAAAAAGACAATGCCTTTCACTAAACAAACTTGATTTTCTTGGCTTTTCTTCGCCAAGGAGAATCGCCTGTACCCCCCACCCTTGCAGCCTTTGTAGACAGTTCCTGTAATTGGGAATGGCTGGGTGGACACCAATGGTTGGCAGCAAAGGGGGATAAATCCGACATCCCTTGAACGTGACATGGGCTGGGACCGCAGTCCCAGGTGGCCGCTTAGCGTCAATTCCTATGGTACTGGTCGACGGTACGTGCCTGCCAGCCACAGCTGCTGGCCCTCGAAACACAATCGGGATTTTAGCAAGACTAGATAAGAGATACACAGTAAAACTGGGCTGTTACTAATTTTGTGCAGATGTTGGATAGGTACTGTACCATGCCCCACTAGCAAGAGCTGGTGACTCACAACAAGGTTGTGGTGGTCCATCTCCTGGCACCCGTACAATGAAATGGCCACCCCAAAAGTAAGTGTGACCTTGAGAATTTGTCATTTGTGGGCTAAGGGAAAGATCACAGTCCATCTTCACACTCCAGCTAAGACTGAAACAAAATGTGCACTCAATAATTAGGTTTTCAAGCATGACCGTTAATTTGAGGTGTCTTAACACAAATTAGAAATCCCTTTTTAAAATACAGTCCCACGCAGTTACAAAGTAGGAGTCTGAAAAGGCACCATTTCACACTTGGTGTGCGAGTAATTAGGGCAAACCACAGGGTGATCACCTTGTCCTAGGGAGATTTAGGATTTACAGAATGCAATCAACTGGGCAGGCTTGCAAACTCTGAGTAGAAGTGAGTAACACCTGGGTCAAAGTAAATCCACAGGCAAGAAGATTAGAGCTGGCAGAAAAATAAAGAACCCTGTGTCACAAGATAAAAGTAGATTGCAAAAAATTGCAATCCTGGAAGAGCTTTTAATCTCGGAGGCGGCTGATGTCTGTAGGTCCCCTTGTTTTTTTGACATAAGGGTAGCCCATGTGCCCAGTGTTCTGTTTCGGGATATTTCCAGTATCAGTCCCCATGGGGAGCAGTTAGGCTCCTATTTCAAACCTTAAGCCTGCAGAGATCTATAAATCTATATATCTCTGTGCCCTGTTAAACAGATTAATGGCTGTCCCAGCAGTTCACTGAAAAATTGTCTGAAAAATGAGATTGTACCCTAAACACTAGGTGTGATTTACTCTCTTGCACGCTTTCTTCCTCTGTTGATGAGTGTTTCAGTAACCCCTGTGAAGAACAGCTTCCATGAGAGACAGTCCGAATGCCCTCCATTCCTTCAGCCCAGAATAGCCTGTTGCCTGATGGTTATGACATTCTCCTGCAAGATGAAAGATAGGGATTCAAGCAGCACAAATAGCAAAATAAAGTGAAATTGGGCTTTCTCCATGTCTGGTTGCTGTTGCCGTAAGAGCAGGACATCAGCCACCTTGTAGGTATCTCTTTGAAGAAAAGCAGTTGCACCTAGTGTTTTGGTTTTGTTTTTTTTTTTTTTTCTCCATCGAGAGATGATTCTGGGGGATGATGCAGGGTGATACCTGTTCGGGGCTTGGAGTGAGATGCGGATGTCCTGGGGAGGTTAAGGCTACTGCACCTCCATTGATCTCCATGGATGATACTAGGAACACAAGTTAACTATTGTGAATTAATTCCCCAAAGCGACTAGGTGCCTAAAGGCTGTTATAGAGCTGGCCCTACCATTTTTATTCAGTTACTACACTACTTCATGACATACCATGTCACTAATAGCAACCAATAGGAGATATGTTAGAGAAATAAGTGTCCTGCTCTCATACCCCTACAGTGGGTGGTGATGATCCATCACCCTATGATTAACTTTCTCCTTCTGTGAGCTCTCTCTGGTGTTGACCAGGAGGTATTGCAGTTGTTCATATCACCTTTGTGCAGTCAGCAGTGGCCTTTTTTAAAAAACAATAGAAAGTCATAACGATTAGCATTATGAAGATTAAAGTCCCTTTTTAGATCGTGGCCTGATAGGCGACGGCTGTCACAATACCTGCTTTGCAAAGGCCACCAATATGTGAGCGGGGTGAATATCGAGCTGCTGTGGTTTGTGAAAATGTTAGCCTCCTGAAACTTTCCATGGCGGATGGAAAGATTTATGGGTACAGTGATGCATATCTATCTCAAAATCATGTTCGGATTAAAAACTTCCTGCAGAGCTAATGTCAACTCAGGTTTCAGGTCACTGCCACAAGCTAAATCAGGTTAGAGATCAAAACCAGCAAGCAGGTACAAGGGAGGCTTGCAGCTATCAAATAAGATAATCTGTAGCATGATTTTTTTATGACTGTGTACCCATAATGACATGTACAATCAGGGAATGGTTGTGGTCTGGAATAAACTTGCTGGTTTGCCTGGTTGTGGTGAAAATTTCATGTGCTTTCCAGTATCAAAACACTATGCAAAAATAACTGGTCAGATCCAGCTAAAGTCACTTGGGTTATGTGGGGAATGAATTGGCCTCATATGCTGGAGATCTGAGTTAACATAAAAGCTACAAGTTATTCCTAAATTGTTTTCATTAGGAAATCCTGGATAAAAATGCACTTGTTAGAGTAATTCTTTGTGTTTTTATTTTTACACAGTCTGTGATTTTTGAACATCATAAATTATATATATAAATTATAAAACCAGATATGGTTTAATATGCCTTGGGTTTTGCATCAGGTGACTGATGCCAGTGACTTTTTAATTAACTAAGGAGCCATCATTCTTGGCAAACTGTTCAACTGCATAGGTGCGTATAAAACAATAATTGAATATAAAAGTTTATTTTTGTCCCTTTATTGATGTCAGGGGAAAACAGTGCAGTTATGAAAATGGAATAAACTGAAAAGATTCCTTCAGTTCCTGCTGGTTGATTAGAACAAATGACTTTCCATTCCAGTTTTTATGAATGTATAGTTTTCTGAAAGCTTTATAATACTTCAGGGAAAGGAAATTGCAGGCAATAAATGATACAGGGTTGTTCAGGTTATTGGGAAATAGAGGAATGGGGTTTATCTGGAAAGGTGAGATTTACTATTCTGCTGTATTTCACTTAAATGTTTGAGAAGGAATCAGATGCAGTGATTTGTACTTTATTATGGGCATGGAAACAGCATGAGACACTTGCTCAGAACACCATTTGCTGATGCCGATGCAGCGTGCAGTGTTTACACACCTTGTGTCTGCAGCCAGCAGGCAGGCAGCAGTGTCAAACCTTTGCTATCCCCTACATTGCACTGGCTGCAAAGAGGTGTCTGCAGAGGCCGGGGGTGGTTTGCCTCTCCTGGTCAGCGAAGGCAGCAGATGTATTTTCATATCTCAGCTTGATAAACAGCATTGGTTTTTATAGAATGTATTTGGTTAAACAGTTCTTGCAGTGTTAGAGAGCTCTACCAGTAACGACGGTTTAATAAACCCAGGGTATTTTTTTTTTTCCTATGTAGAAAGCAGAAATATGGCAACAAAGGAAAAGCTTCAGTGCTTGAAAGATTTCCACAAGGACATCCTCAAACCTTCCCCCGGCAAGAGCCCAGGGACACGGCCTGAGGATGAGGCAGAAGGAAAGCCACCCCAGCGGGAGAAGTGGGCAAGCAAGATTGACTTTCTGCTGTCCGTGGCTGGTGGATTTATTGGTTTAGGCAATGTCTGGCGGTTTCCGTATCTCTGCTACAAAAATGGCGGAGGTGAGTATTTATTTCATTCTCATGAATCAATCTGTCTGCCTTATGCTTGCCATGTTTCAGTGCTTTCACCCAATTTTTGAAAAGAATAATCACACATCTGTTTTCTGCTTTCCTCGCCAGTCTTTGGGAGAGATTGTTTTATTACTTAATAGTTTTTGTTAAAACCTAATTATAGAAAAACAACACCAATTTAAAATTTTATACTAATGAACATTTTCTGCTCTTTTACTTCTGCTACAATTGAGTCTGAGTTTTAACCAAAAGATATGCTATTAATATAGACCAGTAGGATTTCAGACCAGTGGATTTCAAAACAAGAACATTCTGAGCCATGTGAAACTGTTGTGTGCCTAACCCCATTGTTATTGCAGATTTTCATATTTGAAAGTTAAGAAAATGCCCTTTCCAGCTTCATATACCCATTCTACTTGTAGAGTTCAAATATGAGCAAAAATACCCTAGAATAAGATTATTGTATACTGATATTAAAGTATCAAGTATGCTTCTTTGTTTATATATGTCTCTCAACACTTTTTAGACTGTCTTGTATGAAGTCACTTAAGCTCAGTTTTGTACTATGATATTCTCTCAACAGGTGCATTTCTTATACCTTATTTCATTTTCCTGTTTGGGGGAGGTCTTCCCGTGTTTTTCCTGGAGGTGGTGCTAGGACAGTATACCTCTGAAGGTGGAATTACATGCTGGGAAAAGATCTGCCCTATTTTCACTGGTTAGTACATCTTCTTCTGCTTTACTGCTTAAAGACACCTCTGTAAACCATATGCAGCAACACTATTCCCCTCATGTCCATTAACGCAGCTATTTGCTGTAGTAATTGAGGTATGATATTGGTTCCTGGAAAAGTAGAAGTCAGAGAGTCTGAAGGACAAGGTATTGAAAGGTATTGATTTTGATACTATCATCTTGTTAACTGACAGAACTGCCGATAAGCAAGAAAGAAATTGCATATTATGCCGTAAAAGGGCAATTGCACATTTTGTTCACAGGTATCGGAGAAGGTGTTGTTTTGGAAGCCTAGATGACCTTAGTGAAAACATCTTCAAAATGTTATTCTGGTCTGGAAATCAAAATCCCTCTGCCATGTGAAAGCTTATCATTGGCATCATTTGTCTGTTACTGATACAGCCAAAACCTGGACAGCATTTTTTGGTAGGATTCAGGAACAGGACTTTTGTCATAACTGAGCAGGTCCTAGCAAACCGGCACGTTGGTCTGATGTTACCGAAGGGCCTGTGCCAGCAAATGAAGAATCACTCACCGCTCACAGGAATTATATATCACAGGAATTATATGAATGCTGATCTGGAAGTTAACTAGAACGAAAAATGAAAGGCATGTTAGCAAAATTACCAAGGATGCCTAGCTTGTGAATAAATTACCCTTTACAGCGGGATAGCACAGGCAGAGTCATTTGGAATAATTACACTAAACAGAGCAGCGCTCTTCAAATCCCATTTGGAAAGAGTGGGCACTTCACGCTGACGTGTCTCTAGCTCTGCCACTGTTGCTGTTCCAGGCATCTCTCCCCTTATGTCACCCCAAGCAGAAGTGAGGGCTTTCTCTGTGGCTCACACTCCCACCTGATACTCTGAACGCTGCTAAAGTTGATGTAATTGTGCTGCTTTAGCTCCATTTTCTTCCTCCTCCTCCCACTTTTATGAAGCCTTTTTTTTGAGGAGGAGGAGGAAGGAATGTTCCTTGTTTAAATAGCAATCTCCCAGGCATCCATAAAGAGAAACTGTAGCTCTAATAATGTGACTAGCTGTGTATCCTGAATGAAATGCAGCTGTACAAAATAAATAGCATGTGCTCTGCTTGATTTCATCTGGCATAAAAATAATCTGTGGTGATAAAGACTCCTGTTGCAATAATGTTTGAAACTGTAAAATATGAGGCAGGTATCCCAGGTGCCGGGGTAGCTGTCAGAGTGATGTTAAAGAGAATCTCACAGGCTTTTCATCCTCTTGTAAGAGACTGCTCGAAGTTTTTAAAGGAAATCTCTTTTTTTTCCCTGTTATTCCTAAATGACAATCTTTGTAAGCTTTATGGAGCTAAAAAATTTTCAGTAAAGGGGACTTTTCGGAGTCCTTCAGTTTTACATTTAAAAAAATAGTGACTGCTTCTGACTTAAGACGTAGTATGAATCTGCCGGTGGAGCTAAGCTGTCAAGCTAGGAGAGAGATAGCAGACTCAGGAGAACAGTTGTGTATTTAATTAAAGTCTCCACCGGAACAGCATTCCGCTACCTCCTGAAGTTGTGTAGGACTCACCCTTATCTGCCCATGACCCTGCTTTTAAAAACAAACAGGGAACATTTTTTATCGTCAAATATTGATAGCTGAGTTAAACATTGATCTAATTAACCATAACAGCTACAAATATCATGCCTCCTTTGCACAAGTGAAATTGGGGCAGAAACAGCAGCTTTCATGTTGATAGTTCTGGAATTTTCCTTTTTAACTCATTCAAGAACTGTCTTTTTTTTGCACATAGGATAAGCTGAGCCAGCCAATAGGTGTGAGTGGTGCAGGGGTTGCCCAGCAAGCTGCCTCCAAGGAAGCTGGCTTGGGGGACTGTGTGGCAAGAACGAGGTTGCCCATGTAAGTGCTTAAGAAGTGAGATGGTGTAGCTCCCAAATAAGCAAAGCATGATGCCTTGACTTCCTTCTACTAAAACTTGAAATAGCTGGGTTAGTGTTAAATTGGGTAGATGCCTGCAGACCTCCCCTCGGATGTCATCAAACCATAGCCAGAAATTCAGCCCTGAGTGCTAGTCAGAGATGGTGGCAGGTCTGTGCTTATGTGTGATGGAGTTGAGTTGCGTTATTTCCATCAGCAGTGTGGTAGAGCAGGATACAAGTCTGCAACGCAGTGGGAATAGCACCAGCTCCACAAGATCAGGAGGCACCCTAGCAAGAAGCGGCTGTCACATCTGGATGTATTTCTTTTCTCTCCCCCTCTCATCAGGAATTGGTTATGCTTCCATAGTGATTGTGTCCCTTCTGAATGTGTACTACATCGTGATCCTGGCCTGGGGACTCTACTACCTGTTCCAGTCATTCCAGAGCGTCCTGCCGTGGGCGCACTGCCACCAGAAGTGGAACACGCCAACCTGCGTGGAAGACACTCTCAGGAAGAACAAAACACTCTGGATATCACTGAATGCCACTAACTTCACCTCTCCTGTCACAGAGTTTTGGGAGTAAGTACCACCTCTTCACGGTGCCTTTGGGGAGCTTTGGTGGCATGCCAGAAGTCAGGCCTGAGATTTTATGGAAGCCCCATAAGTAATGTTAGATAGTAAAAGAAATATTGGGTGTCAGTTGTTTAACCAGTGATTGCTACTGGTTCTTGCCCATCTTGAGACAGACTGGAAAGCCTGAGAGAGGTGGAGGAAGGTGTTAGATACATAACTGCATTCATCCTAGAGCATACAGGGAGCCCTAAAAGCCCAGTGCAACTTCTAGTTTGGAAGAAAACTTGTTTCCTTCTTGCTTGGGATTCTCTGAATGCATGCAGCTTTTCAGATGCCCTGATAGCAGTGATTTACAGTGGAAACAGTGACAAATTACCACTTTGTGGTTGCCTCTCCCTCTTCCCCAGCTGTTTGTATTTCCAGTACACTTTGTGAAGCTAGAACACACCTCTTATCAGTCTGACAACGATGCAAGGCATTGACCTCAGCAATAAAACTTGACAGAGGTGGTGGACGTTGTCCCGTACTGTAGGTTTCTTAGGTCATCTTTGTTACATCATTTTTCTCTGCAGTCTCTGAGGAGACTCTGTTTTGCCAGATGCCTTAATTTCATCAGGCCTAGGCTTCTTATTCCCATTTCTCTCTTATTTTTCAAGTTTTAATTTATATTGCATAACCTGATTTCTGAACGGACATGACCTCAAATCCATGTGTGTTTATATAGGCATCAAAACATATAGCAGCAGAGGAACGCACCTGTAGGGAAACTTAAATCCAAAGGATCTACAAATAGCATAGGGAGAATTTTTTTTTGGCTTGCTCAGATGGTCACTTAATAGTAGAATTATTTTCTGACCCAGCTTGGCTTTTTCATCATGTTTAAAGTCCAGTTTGGTCTGTGATCAACTTGTACCTACTTTTCTGTTTTTAAAAAGAATTGTTAGCCAGTAGCTCCAGCAGGAATGATGTTCATGCTGAAGATATTTGGCATGCGTTAGGTTTAGGAAAAAATAATCCTATTAACTGTACTAAAATCTGTTACACAAGAGCCAGAATAAAAAGGGCAGATTGGATCTTGGATGAGCAGTTTGTCAAAAGGCACCGGTGACCAGTGTGAGAGATGGGGTACAAGCTGTAAGAGTAGTCCTTTTCTCCTTTTCACCACGTCATGAGCACTGTGTTTCCATGTTGAGCAACAGATACTTTCCCAGGTGACTTCCTCCATTGTAAATATTGTAAATATGGAGGAAGTTGGAAAAAGTTTGTTAAATGATACCTCTGGATATTTTGGGGGAAGTTAGAGTCAAGTTGCAGTAAAAAAGGAAGCAATTCTCATTCCTTTGGACTCTCCCACAGTGACTCTGTGACTGAGAACCTTGAATCCAAATGAGTGGCTGGCTTGGTAGGATGTTCAAAGGTCTCCTCGGGGCCTCCCTAAGAAGCCTGGGTCCACACAGTGCTGCCCCTGAAGTACAGTAGCTCTCCCAGGACTTCAGAAGCACTGGGTTCATCACCAATTTTGTGCAGTAATTTTGCTCACAGATCAGATCCTCTTGTACCTGGGGGCAGCCATGAGCTTAGCAGCCTCCTGATGAGGCTATGGGGTTGCCCTCCTGCTCCAGAAGCTTCTACTCCTGTAATGCACAGATTTATGGTCCAGGTTGGCTCCCTTGGGCCCCAGGTGGCATCCACTTCAGGAGACTGAAGATACCATAGCAGAAGGGAATAGGGCTGAGAGTTGGAAAAGGGGTTGTAAGAGTGGGGGCTTCATGACCTCAGAGGACACCAGAGCTTTCTGTGGGTAACGACACAGTAGGTATGCAGTCAAGGGCCTGATGACAGGGCAGCCTGTCCATGGGTCAGGGGAACAATGTCCCCATGGGAGCACACTAGGGGTGGAGCTTTTAGTTAAGTTTCCTCTAAAAGAAAACAAGTTTCTGTCCTCAAAACTCCCTTGCAAGCTGAACCAAATCATTCTGTAGATACAGCCTAACAGATGTGGTCAGACTGGAGGTGCCTGAGGTGGGAGGACAAATCCTTGATCCTCACAGCACTTTCCCTTTCCCTCCGTCTTGCCCTCACTGTTTCAGTAGCACAGCTGGATGGAGCAAAGTTTGCTCAGAGATTAGTGCTCGTGCAGGCAACTCTCCTTGCACTTTGCAGTCACTTTAACTTTTGTCCTCAAATAACAGTTTAAAACACTGTGCACTGAACTCTTCCCTCGAGTCATGCTAGGGAGGAGTTTGGCTCCATAATCCTGCTAATACCCACATACTGTCCACAGTTCACTGTTTCATCATGAGTGAAACTTCCCTTAACAGAGCAAGCTGCCTTCTGGACTCATGGCACTTACAGAAGTATTAAAAATAGCTGTTGTCTCTGCATAAACAACTATTGGTGTCTTAAAGTACGGACAGAGATCACACAGCATTCTTGTAATTAAAGTTAGCATAGCTTTTACACAGTGCAAGCATTTGGTATCCCTAGTTTTTCCCCAGCCATGCTACTATTCTTTATAGTTCTGAAATTAAAAATAATTTTAAGAACTTTAAGGTACTTTGCCATCATAGACAATGCCAGCTGCCAGCCAGCCAACTACCCACATTGAAAGGACAGGTCCATAAATAGTCTTTAACTGAAGATATCCATCTGCTTTGTGGCACAATTAATTCCAATTTAATTCAGGGGTTTGTGAGTATTTGGTTTCTGAAACCCAATGCCATTTTTATTGTGGGACATTTATGTAGTGTCCTCATCAGTATTGCTTTGTAAAACTAGCACTGCCCAGATATAATTGACCACACTGATGCATTAACCTCTTCACGTTGAATAACGTGTCCTTAGCCTGGCTGAACATATAGTACAGCCTGACATTTCAGTTCATTTGAATTAATGTTCTGTGCAAATCACATGCTTGCTTGAGCAGCAATAAAAGAGGGTTAAGCAAATCTGGCTTTGTATCAGGAGACTTACCTCTTGGTATCACATGCTTCATGTCTTACTTTTGAAGATTTTATTTTGAAGTCCAAAACCTCAAAGGCTTACACACGTATTAATACATAAGGGATAAGTGTTATGGGGTAATTACGGTCAAACAAAACCTCTGATTGTCTGGTGCTGGCCAAGTGTTTATAAATATTTGGTAATCAGTAGACTTTATTCATCCAAATCCCAAGAAAGACCATCACGTGCTAATGGCATGTAATCTCAAAGGGAGCAACACAAAATCTAAACAAAGTCTAGGGCAGCTGTCTCTGCCTTTGGGGGCAAACTTGAGAGTTTTAAAAACCGTTGCATGTTCTCCTTCTAGTAGTCTTCTGGTACAACTGCTTCAGTGTTATTTATTCTTGTTCATCCAACACGAAAGAGTGCTTCGCCTCTCCTGGTACAAAAAGTCCTGTCTGCATTCACTTGATTAACGAGCTGGAATATCCTTCAAGGATTGCATAACTCTCCTCATTTTATTTTTGTTTATGTTCTAGAGCCAGTTACAGCTCCTATTACATTTCCATATTGCACATCACTAGAACATATTAGTCTATGAACAAGGTTCAAGAACTCATGTTTACAACAAACTCAGCCCCAGCCTGTTGTCCCATTGATTATATATGAGTGACAGTTAATGACAGCATCAAGACTATAAATTAGAATTAGTAACAACTCCATGCATAAATGCCATGAAGTTAGTTGAGTGGACTTGATGGAATCTAAGCAACACTGGGTTGTGTAACAAAGTTGAAGAGCTATCAGCATAGCTCAGCTTGTGCTCCTTCCTGAACTTGAATTTTCAGGGTATCGCAAATCTGTGTTGAGTGCTTCTGCTGCAAAAATGTGTTGGATTAGATTTCATGAAACAATTTGAATGCTGAGGCTCCCCTGGTAATTCTGGGCAGATTCCTTGAGGTAGTCGGTTTTCATGAGATGAGATAACTCAGGACAGAGAAAGCCAGCACATCGCTTAGTGCACATGCTGCCTCACCATAAAAAGGTAACATATCTGGCTCTCAGTGCCCTCCAAGAAAGCTTGAAAGGATTGCTGGGACAAACCATAGGTGAGATGACCGCTTGCTTTTAGTTACCTAAAAAAAAGGAAAGAAGTCTTAGCTGAATGCATTAATAGAGGTCCCTATTCCAAAGCGCATTTGCAGTTCATTATTCATGGTTTCCTGAGAGCTAGCTCTATAGGTTGCCTTTTTAATATGAACTGCTCATTAGATTGGAAAATTGTCATTTATTTTTAAAAAGCCACAGAAGGCTGCAGCTGAATTTTGTCGTTTTATAAATTTATTTTCTTCTTTTGTATACGCACAGCAGGTTTTTCCCTGGTTTCTTTAGGCTCAGGTGAACCAGGACTGCAACTTATGCCAAATATTCATTACTATGGGGTTTCTTGTAACTGTTGAATAGATGTGCTGATTAGGGCAGACTTTCCCTGTCTGGTGCCATTAGACCTTTTCCATAACAAAATACACACACGTTCGGAGAGAATAAAGCATTTGATGTGAGAACACATTCACACAGGTAATACAAGTGAATTTGGCAAACAGAAATGCAAAAACAGATGGGTGAGGGTTTGAGTTCTATTAAACTGGTTGATTCAGGTTTTTTTTGTCCCAAAAACTAATTGCAAATTTTCCATTGGTGACTTCATTCGCTATTATTTCCATGGTAATAGTGGGAAAAAAAAAATACAGGGGAAAACGAAACCACGGTGGTTTGTCTTGTACTGGATTCCACACAAACTTGTGGGCCTGACCCTGGTACAGCAGCCCAGACTGCTGTGGTCTCAGCTCTCCATGACTTAGGTGAAGGAAAGTGGCTAATTTTTATAGCTGTCTGAAAATAAAATTAAATTAACAATTTGTTAGGTAGCAAGGTTATTTCTCTAGTCTTGGGGCAAGGCATTTCTGCTGTAATTGAGGTCAAGCTTCTCCTTGACTTTAAAAAAACCTTGCAGAAACTCTTCAGAGTTTAGTAGGTTTGTTTGCAGAGGAGTTTTAGCATAGTGAACATTAAGAAACAGCTTGTTCTTTCATACATATTTGACAAATGAAGTAAGTATTCGGTACGACAAGGTCTGTCCAGTGTGTGAGGACAGTGTGTGTTGCACAAAAGTAAAAAAAAAAAAACTTTTAAATCAGTATTTAACAATGGCCCATGGCAGTTACCAAAAGAGAGAAGCCTTAATGAATTTTCCCCCTCAGTAACTGCATATTTTGATGATCAAATGTTGCTCCCTTAAGACCCAGCTTAGGAATCTCTTTTCATTTAACCTCAGTGACAGAATAAGTTTACCAACTATCTCAAGTTAGCTAAACAAGACCATGGTGGCACGGTGCTGAGGACGGACAGCAGCGTGCCCAGGCAGTGTCGGGGGGGCCGTGGGGGAGAACTGAGAATGGCTTCAGCCTTCGCCCTGCAAAGCCACACGGCGTGACGGTTCCCAGCGCTGCTTTTTCCCTTTCCTCCTTGTGACATTCTTGCTAATGAACTGAAAAGGCGGAGAAACACATGGATGCAGGCCAGTTGCAAGTGTCCGTGATGGAGACACCGTGTGCAGTGCTGCCGTGTGGCGTCAAAGCCGGGGCTTGTGGCAGTGACAGGGTGAGCTGCTCTTGCCTCTTCAAGGGAGCAAACATGAAAGCCACAGTGCTTTGAGCATACTTTCTTATCTCATATTGAGGTGGTCGTGGGCTGCTAAAAAGAGCTTAAAATGAAATGCTGTGCAGTATATTGAATGAAAAAATACCACAGACCTAGGGAAGATGTAGGGCTGCAAAGCTCAGCTTTGCTCACATAAGCCATGCTTAGCAAGCAGTGTTCATCTGCCCATGCCCTACACACCCATCATATAATCTCAGCCGTTGCAACTGGATTCTGCATTAACTGAGCTCCTGCATCTCTCTCTTGTTTCGTTTCTTTTCAAATATTCAGGCGCAATGTGCTGAGCTTGTCCTCAGGAATTGAAGATATTGGTATTATCAAGTGGGATCTAGCACTGTGTCTTCTCCTCGTCTGGGTGATATGTTTCTTCTGCATTTGGAAAGGAGTCAAATCCACTGGGAAAGTAAGTGCTCTTTTACCCTTTTTATAATCATTGCAGTTAACAGATGTTAGGAATACTAAGTAATGCTGTTCCTAAAGATATTCACCATTTCCTGGAAGAAAATAAGTATTTTTGCACTTAGTAAAAGAGGGATTCAGATTCAACTGATTTTCAAAAGTCATTGCCAGTGCCCAAAATGCCTGTGAGTCAAGTAGCCATTACTGGACTCAAGATGCAGATACTTTGCCTCTCTGAGGACAAACATCTTGCTGGTATATGTCATGAGCATGGAAGGTCTTAGGCCTGTGATGTGTGGTGCTCTGCACTACCTGTCTGTGCTCTCACACCAGCCAAGTTCATTCTCAGTGCAGCAGGGTGGATGTTAACACAGCTGTGGTAGGGATGTTTTAAGTCAGTGGGAACTCGTGGATGCATTGCATTTTTGAAATGCCGTTCACTTACAGAAGAGTTCTGTGTAGACACAGAAGACTAAACTTAGGTACTCGTTTAGAAGCACTCTCCTTAACAGAGATCCTGGGTAGACTGTGGTTTTAGTCTCATCGTGTGCTCTTCAGAATCATGTTTTTCTCTAAAGGGTAACAGTTAAATCATTCCTGAACCTCACCCTACTCCAGTGCAAGAAATAAATTACAGCAAATCTTGGCCAATCACTTAAGAACATGAAGCATGATGTTATTGCCCCTTGCATACAGAAGTGTTTTTAAACCTATTTTCATTAGGAAAGCATTTGAAGCCATTGCATATGTGTGGCTCTTAGCTTTAAACCTGAGGTTGAGGCAGCATTTAACGTAAGTCTAATAGAGGTAGAGAGGTCTCAAGATACTAAGCTCCTCCATGCTTCTTGTCAGGTAGGTGGAAGGGAGGAATCCCGTCAGTGTCCCACATGAGAAAAAGGCCACAGCATGAACCCATCTTTTATCAGCCCCCAGAGATGTCAGGAGGAGTGAGCAATTGCAAATGTCCCAACTGCAGAAACAGCATCATTTAGCATTTTTACCTTGTTACACACTGAAAAATCAACCAAGAGACAAAACTCTGTAGGAAACCAGACCTCATTAGTTCCACTGTTGACTAAACTGCTTGCTTTACTGTCGTTTCTGTCTTGCTTTCTGTGATTTTTATCATGGAGCCTCATTAAAATCATGCTGGTGCCCTACCCTGGATTCCCGCCAGCTTTGCCCCGAAGAACAGCTTCCACACCTCTAAAGCATACATTGGCAAAAATGTTTGCTTCTCAGTTCCCTCTGATTGATGTGACCCGATGAGGTGATTGTGTAAGTTTTATAGTAAAGGTGAACACAATAAATCTCCCGCAGTAGCTGAGTGGAAGCACACATTCCTGCAGCACCTCTGGCAAGCCTGGTGTCTGCTCAGTAAAGGTTACGGCAGCGCTGAGAGAGACTATTCCAAGCTCCCAATGGCACACTATTTTAAGCCCTAAAAGGTTGAAAACGGGTCTGTTAAAATCAGTTATCTAAAAATCTGTGTTTTCTGGAAAAACAGCAAAATGGTCTAATTTCTAAGACAAGGCAATTGGTAGGAATTCGCTGCCTCTTGTCCACAGCATCTGAGCTCGTGCAGATGTGGAGCCAAATCCCAACAAAACCATTGGAAAGTCTCTGGTTGACTCCATTAACTTTGGGGTCAAACAAAAGTAAACTGTAAACTCTAATGGAGGACTTGAATTATTTGAGAAGTCTAGTTTACTTTAGTGGATGGTTGTTTATAGCACTTCCATGCTTTCCAGCATGTTAATGGCTCTTTGGAAAGCGGGGGGGAAAAAAAAAAAAAAAAACCAAAAAAAACCCCAAGACATAGTTTTTAAATCTTGTAGTAGCCTTTTCAACAAATAAACATGAAATCATGGTAAAAAATGATAGTTGTGCTTGTGCTTTGGATAATGTGCTTGATGTTAAAAATTCTTCCAGCGATACAAGAGAATCTTTATCTGCAGCACAAAGGCCACTTTCTGAGTGTCGTATACTCAGTTCCTGCAAATACATCAAGGCATACATTTTTTTGTAAGAAAACTTTGATTTTTCATAGGCCCAGATTATATTCAAAAAAAAAAAATAGGAAGCACAGAAATCCCCCTTTCATCCTTCTGGCTTTGGTGAAACTGGGCTCATGTGTAATATATATTATTTGTCAGTGGAAAATATACAGAAATTTCAAGGAGAGAATTAAAAAGGATGTATATGAAAAGATTGCCTTTCATTTTAAGAAATCAATCCAGCTCTGTGAATTATTATGGCAATGCAGGCTTTGAGTTTTCATCGTTATTCTCAGAGGACACACTTAAGAAGAAAAATGGTGCATCCCGGGAGCCTTGCTGTAGTTAAACAAATTCTGGAAAACAAAAATACATTTTAACTCATGGCAGCAAACTGTAATTACCTGGGGGAATCATCTGACTCCATGAAAAATGCCCTTTCTTGGACAGTAGTGATTCTTGACTGTAAAACAGAGGTTATATAAAAAATGAGAGAAAGCACGGATGAGCAAAGAAAACAAAATGTTAGAGGTCAAAAAGTGTAGGTCTAAAGATAGAACTGTCCAAATGCAAGCTCAATTAACCCTCGCGCTGGAGATTAAAGCAAAGGGCTCTTTCATCAAATGAATTAGAAGATAACAAGAAGAGAAGTAGGCTGTTATTCAAAGGGAGAGGGAATAGAGGTTAGAGATAATGAAGACATATTCTCAAACTAGATGAATAGAGCCTTAGTTTCCAATAATGATGTTGTTGAATAGGCGGCGAGGGCAAGAATAAAGTTATGGGACTGGAAATTACTGCTGTTGAGGCTGATGCCAACCTGAGGGGCTTCATGCATTCAAGGTGATGGGAAGGGAGACACAGGAGCATGGACCAAATTATCTTCATCTCTGAAAGAAGTGCCTCGTGAAATTGCCTGTAGGATCAGTAGTGGGGCTGCACAGCAAGGCCAGAGGTAGCAGCAGAGCTTGCCAAACAGTTTGCCGTTCTAAATTCAAAGAAAGAGGTAATGCTTCAGGCACCCCCAGTGAGGAAAGCTCTTCAGCTTCCCTGGTAGAGATGCACTTGTCATGTGAGGAGGACAAACAGGACAAAGGCAGGATTTCAAACAGAAGTCATGAGTTGTGTAAAATCCTGCATGTTCTCTGCCTGAGTGACATGGCCACTGTCTGGGGGGCTCTGGAGGGATTGATGAACTTGCATTGCCTCCAGGCCTAAAGCAATAAGGTGATAAAAGACCATTAAACTAAAAGTAGACAGAAACTCGGGAGGAGTCCTTGTTAGGTATGAAGGGGCTTTGAATTCCCATTGTTAGATCTCTTGATTCTGAAGGTGTAGCGTTGACTGCCACAGACTAAATATATCTTTTTTTGGCTTTATTTTTCCTTCATTGCTAGGTAGTGTACATCACTGCCACGTTCCCATTCATCATGCTCCTTGTTCTACTCATCCGTGGTGTGACTCTGCCTGGAGCTGCAGAAGGCATCAAGTTTTATCTTTATCCTGATATCTCACGGTTAGCTGACCCACAGGTACAGAACCAGGAGTGGGGAGTGGGACGATTTCCTATGCAAAGGGGGATGGTGGAGGGTGATGGTGGTGATGTAATGGCAATAGATTTTTTTTTCCACGGTCTTTAGAGGTCCAAATATAGCATGAACATTAATGCTGGATTATATTTTCCAGAGATCTGCTTGAGAAGGTCACTGTTATCTGTGTTAATGCATCTTTCCATGTGTATGTATGTGTGTGTATGCGTGTGTATTTTTTTTGTGTCAAAGGACTCTGAGGCTGTAGACTCTGTCCCGTTATACAATCTCAGCTTTCTTGTTGGGAAGGTAAGGGAGATGCATTTTTTTAATGAGGATAGTCTGTAGTTTCAAAGGAGAGACACGTGAGCTTCACAGATGGAACAACAAGCGGCAACTGTGAGTACCAGTGTCACTAAGCTCCCACTGCTCAATAGGAAGACATTGGGAAATAAGTAAATGAAATAATAGAAGAATGAAAACCCATGCAAAAGTGGAGAAAAATGCTTTTTGAGGCACAGGAACTACTGTTCACTTAGCCGTGGCTAGGGGAGCTAGACTTACTCTTTCTGTATAGGCTGTGATTAGATAAAGATTCTTTCTGTGCTCACAGAGAGCAAATATGTGACACTTGAGCAGACCAGCATCTTTTCAGCCAATAATGATCATGTAAGAAATAGAAAAAAAATGCAGTACCCCCTCCCCAAAAACAAGGGATCTTTGAAAATAACAAAATGTTGGCGACAGTGAGAGGGATTAATGTCTGTCTTTGCTATTTCTTCCTAATGAGTATTCAGTTAAAATAAAAATCCAATGATAGCTAAATATCTGAAGTAGGAAAAGTGTAATTGAAAGAAACATTGTGGAAATTTGGTTCATTCTCTGATCTTGCCCTCTTTATACAAGACACCCTCTTCACAGGAGACAGTATATTTTATGAATGAATCTTCTTTTATGGGACTTTATCATTTTTATGATCTACTATTAGCCCTAACTCTAAAGCATCAGCCAATGATGTAGAAGAGATTCATGCGAGCTGGCAGGCCCCCTCCCATGGTCTAGCAAAAGCATCATCTCCAAGGAGATACCAGTCAGCAAGGTGCTGGAAAGCAGTGGTGGGAGGGAGGAAGTAACGGTCTACAGTCTTAATTCTCACTTACTCAGACTCCTTGGTGGTTTCTACTGGTGTTAGCAGAAAGAAGCAAACAGATGGGATTTAGTGGACGCATTTTGATAGCTTGCTACATATTTACTAACTGAGAAGTTGATAGTTTACTGTTATTTCACTCTGTATATGTTTTGGGTTTTTTTATGTAATCAGGAGAAAGAATCATGCAACTGAGATCAGATACATATCTTATAAAATACATTGTATTTTGCTTGTTTTCCCCCTACCCCTATGGCTCTTTATCTTGCATTTAAACAGATACAAAAACAACTAGAAAGCTAGAAAAATAAACAAACCAAATACACAAACCTGTTTCTCAAGCTTTTCACATCCTCAGTTTAGTGACTCTGTCAGCTGATTCCAACTGAAATGAGTTACAGCAGAAATGAGCAATGTTATAAATACTTCTGCATTTCCTATTGCGCTGAAACACATTTATCATTGCACCAACAGGAAGGATCAGCTGAATGACTAAGAAACTAGAAATACTGAGCATCTTTGGGGAAGGGGATACAGGAACTGTTGAAGAGATGGTGTTCTTGTAGGCTCTGACACTAACAATTTTCTTTTCCCTGTGAAAGCCAAACTTGCAAATGTGATGTTCTCTTTCCCTCCCTCCCTGATCCTTTAGCTGTCACCCTCAATGGAAGCAATTATTTTGTTGATTTTGCCTAGTTTGAACTGTATGTTTGTGTCAAATGGTGCAATGCAACAATGCCGGTAATAACAGTCTTTCTATCTTTCCCTTTAGGTCTGGATAGATGCAGGGACACAAATCTTCTTCTCATATGCAATCTGCTTAGGAGCAATGACTTCCCTGGGGAGCTACAACAAGTACAAATACAACTGCTATAGGCAAGTTTCCATCCAAGGGGGTTTAGTGTTTTAGCTAAATGATGTAAATAAAGTAGGGACAATGGGTTAATTTTTTTTTAATTAACTTGCTCCATGACATATGTGTGACTTAGGGACTGTTTGCTGCTGGGATGCCTGAACAGTGGTACCAGTTTTGTGTCTGGCTTCGCAATTTTTTCCGTCCTGGGCTTCATGGCACAAGAGCAAGGGGTGAACATTGCTGATGTGGCAGAGTCAGGTACGATGGTATTGGTGGCAGTGGTGGTGGGCACTGCCGCCTAGCGTGTGAGCAAAGTTCTGCAGACGCAATCAGCTAACATCTAAGCAATAAAACAGAACAAGATTTCCCATAATCTCCAGAAAAAATAAGCGCATTGTTGATTTGGGCTTTCATCTAGAGCAGTGAGGGTTAGCTGGGGTTGTATTGTTTACTCTGTCTTGATTAACAGAGCAGTGACCACATTTCCTAGAGTGTGCTAATCCATTTGAGTTGAGAGTAAAGATAACCACACCATTATCCAGGGTCCAGAATGTTATTGTTTCAAGAATTTATTCCATCCTTCTTTTCAGACTACCTTTATTTTCATCCGAATGCAAATAGCCAGTATTTATGTATTTTTAATAGCTTAGTTTTGCTTGCTCACAGCACAGCGCTGCAGTGGGAATATTACCTTGGCCTTTGGAAGGGACATACACACATATATTCCCAAGTCTCACTGAAAGGCAAGAGTAGTTGGAGAACTCCATCTCCTGTGTTCTGTGCACCATTTCATCCACAGGAACTCTAGTTGTTGCAGTCCTGCATTTGTCCTTTGTAGCTTCAGAGTGAGGCTGACAGAACTGTAAGAAGTCCAGTTTGAAACTGGATGTACATTTAGGTTTCCTCCCTTATTTCAGAAGTGTTCTGGCCATTAACATTCAGCTACACACATGCAGCTGAAGAAGGCTAAATCCTCATAGCATGTGAATATATCTCAGACAAAACAGATGACATTTTTTTCTCTCTGCATGTCTTGTCCATGAGGGCAGGTGTAACCATGTGCTTTCGCATAGAACAGATTAGATGGGAATTACCATTCAAAAATAATGTGTCAGGCCTCGACAGCCATGAGGCTTAAAGCTAATTAGATTCAAGTAATAACAGTGTCATCCGAGTGCACTTATGGAATTTCTTTCTGATTTTTTTGAGCAATTTTATTTCACCTGCATAGTATTTGAAAGCTTTCCTCTTCAAACATGCTATTAAAAAGAAAAAGTCAATGTATCTTCTAATCACATGGCTCTGGGAGTTAAGTCTTTAAGAAAAGTATCTCAATTCAAAAGGGCTAAAGAGAAACTAATAACATTGGTGGCACTGCTGGATTATTAGGTGGCTACAATTGGCATACCTCTTGCAAGTGCAATTAGTTAATGGTCTTGGCCATAATGCTTATTTTGATTGGAGGTTGATTGCTTTGTTTGAAAACAAAAAGCAAGGGAATAATCCTATTGAATGAATCATAAATAGCCCCATTTGTTTTTTTTTATATGTAGGTGGATCAATTCCAAGAGTAGCATTGTTAATTATTTCCACATTAGGTTTTTATCTGGTCAATATTTATTCTAATTTTTATTATTAAGTCTCTGATAAACAAGCAGCTGTATTCCCATTGCTCAACATTTTTAGAATTAAACAATTCTATAGTAACACTGGATCGTTAAATAATGTTTTAATACAAATTAACTAACAGACTTAGTGCTTACATAGCATTTTTTCAACAGCTCAAAAATCACTTTTTTAAAAGGAGAGATTTTGTATCTTATTATAGGGACAACAAGAGCACTGATTAGCTTCCATACTTGGCTTTTGATTTCTTGCATGTTTTGTTGTCTATTCCTTCAGGTTTTCTACTTTATTTAAATTCAGCCCTAATAACAAATGACCAGAGACTGCAACCGTCTCACTGTTCAGTGGGTTGCCCATCATCACTGGCTGGTCTTCAGCTAAATCCTAATGGACATTTTTACATGACAATAAACATCACCAAAATGAACCAAAATGATCCAAACTGCCTTTCTCAGCCAAAAAAAAAAAAAAAAAAAAAAAAAAAATTATCCTCAGTGCCTTCCTCAGCAGAGGTCAAGTGCAGAGCCATTGGAGACCTCTTGGTCCCCCTGGGATGAGGATCCCAGGACCTGCGTGGGGCCATGGGGGAGGCTCTTGCTGCTGCTGACTTCTCGGCACAGAGACATTCAGCAGGCACTTGAGCCTCTTTTTTCAGCCTTACCTTTTTTGATTTCTTATGACGCAAGGTGAGAACTGCTTCCCAGGGTCAGGAAAAAGGTGAGCAGAGACACTGCTGCTTGGCTGTAGCACCAGGGAGAGGACATTGTCTACAGGGCCAAGACCTCCTGCTCCCCCCCATCTCTGTGCAGCGAGTTAAATCCCTCCTGCCCTATGTGTGACACCATTTGTTGTCTTGTTTGCCCTCCCACAAGCCAGGGAAGCATCAGCAAATTTGCTGACAGCAGAATCTCATGGCCACATTTTTTACCCCTGCCAAATTCAGCCTTGGTGCAGCGTTCCTGGAACACCCTTGTCAGTGAGGGGTGGCTCCTGCTTAAAGCACTGTTTGCTGCTGCCAGCCTTCACTGGCTTAGACTTACACCACAGTTACGTTAGACCCCTTTGACTTCCCAGTGAAAGGAGACTTTTAATAAATAGCACTTGATTTCTTTTCAGAAATAGTTTTAAAGGGAGAGAGGAAAACAGTGGAGGCTCAACAAAGCCATAGTAAGTCCTGTCTAATCTGTGCTGCGTCTCTGGCTGGAAGAAATACATTACTGCCTGCGCAATTTGTAGCAGATCTGCCTTTTTTTAAAATCCAATTGCAAACAAATTCAGATTAAGCAGGCCTGACTATAGTGCCTTGGTCTCCCTCATGCCTGCCCGGTCTCTGGCCCCGCAGTGCTCTGCTCCCAGGGCGCATCTCCAGCCATGCTGCGGCATTTTGCCGGCAAACAGCCAGCGAGTGGGCTGGGATGGTGGCAGTCCTAAGTGGCTCTTAATAGCAGCCACAAGTGCCTCACTTTTGCAAAACACCCTTCAGAGCAACAGAGTTTCAAATTAAATATGATTTTAGATTATTTATCTTCAGTTGAGGGGATGCCAGGAACATTTTCTTTCACATAGACTTTTCTCTTTATATTTCAACACTTAGTTTCAAAGGAAAATCAAAGCTAGCACAGGGCTTAGGGCACTTGGTATTAGACCGTATCACAGTGCAAGCACAGTTTCACTGGCCAAAGCATACAGAATTGCAGCAAGTTTTGAGGAGAGCAGTTTTACATCTGTCTCATCAATTGCACAGATCAGCTGCAAATGCCCTCTGATAGCAGTTCTCCCTCAGGGAGGATCTACTGTATTCACTGAATTAGGGGGGAAAAAAACCAAAGCCCCACAAAATTTGAGACATTCACTAATTTTTTGATATCTTCTGTCGTATAAAATCTTAGTTGTGTTTCATTTTAAATAAAATTAGTTGCTCGATTGTTGGCTAATTTGTATTTATTTCTGTTCAAATATTTTCAGTGACTTGAAGTTTCTTTAGTTCGAAAAAAAAGTCATCTTTTTTTTACCTCTTTCTCTAGCTTCTTTTTCCATCTTTCTTTCTGGAAAGGAAAAGTGGGAGGTAGGAAGAGCAGCGTTAGAGATTTTTTATGTACAGATCAGAGATAGGATTTCTGTCCCCGCACTGCAGCAGTTTAAAAAAATTCCTTTTCCCATTGAAAATTACTTGAACTCACATCAAAATCCTGGAAAATGCCAATTTTCAGGGCTCCTTAAAGCAAACAAGCAGACGAGCCAGGCATTCCTGGGTTTAATCTGAATTTAAATCTGCCCTCAGAATTTTGTGTTGGCTTCACCAAATTTCTATGGCCACTTTGAGAGCCTGCTGTAAATGCTGGCTTCCCAGTGTTCCTGTCTCCCACTTGGAGAGGGCTCTTTCTCTCAACAAAAGCTCTCGTAAGTGATAGCTGGTAGCACCTGGCTCCAGGTGAGAGCGCCTTTGCAGATCAGCAAGCGAGAGCACTGCACGTGTGCTCGGGTTGTGGGTGTGAGTGAGCTGCCGGCTGGTCCACGGTGCAGATGAGACCCAGTCCAGTGATGAGCACTCGCACACAAGGCTTTGGTTTCCAGAACAGGGAAGCCAGGCACTTAGCCCCAGCCCTGCTGGTGCTCCCAGACTGTTGCAATCCTTTCTGCAGTTGGGGCTGATGATCATATTCAGCGTCACCATGGCAGGTCTGCATAGGCTGGCTGGATAGGGGCAGATGATGTGACAGCACGGGGAAGTGATTTTACACACCAGCAATCCCTAACAGCAGGAGGCATTTTTTTCAGGGACCACAGCTGATATAACTAGGAGTAGCCTGATCACTTCAGTACAGCGGTGAGGGTTTGGAGAAGCAAAGGAGCAGACTCCTGGAGTGCAAACCCTCCTCTAGAAAAGCCGTGCTGGGTTTGGAGGTTGCATACAGAGGGAGGCGGTGGTTGCATTAGCAAAGATCCCAGGGAATGTTTGGAGCAGAGTCCCTTTCCCTGCATGCAAAAGTTTCATCATCATCATCTTCATCGTGACCATGTGGGCTAGCAGTGGGATTCTGCATTCCCCTGGGTCACCCCTATTCCCCCTGCCCCCAGTACTGCCCTGTGTCCAAGTGGGCAGGTGTAGGACCACCTCCATTATTGGCATGTTTGAGACAGATGTTAAAACTGGTGATCTGTTAGCAATGTCCTCGGGGGTTTGCCTGTGGTTTCTGCTGTAGTCATGCGTGCTTCGATTTCAGATAAAAGAGCCAAACTATTTCACTTCTGGTATTTCCAGCCGCGTTTGGATTTATCTGAACGGAATCAGGCATTCCTGCATTTGAGTGTGGCTACCTTTACAAAAGAGCTGGTACTTACTATTTCTCTTCCCTTCCCTTCCCCCCTTTCCTATTTTCTCTTTCTCTAGGTCCAGGCCTGGCCTTCATTGCCTACCCAAAAGCTGTGTCCATGATGCCACTGCCCACCTTTTGGGCAATCCTTTTTTTTATTATGCTTCTGTTGCTTGGACTGGATAGCCAGGTTAGTATGGTGGGTAAGCGATGTGTGGCTTATTGTCTTGGTGCTGCTGACAGAAAAGCTGGTTCTACAGACCTGAGTTAAGAAGAGAATACCTCTAATGCTCCTTAAGAGGAATTCATGTGGGTTGCTTTTTAATGCAGGGGCTTCATCTGATGAATCTGTGACTGTTGATTCATGGTATGAAGTTGCTTAATATAAGTCTTTGTCATCAGGGGTTAAAGGAGTGCACAAGACTAGGACAGTACTCCCTAACCTAAATAGCAGTCCTGGTCTGGCCACAACATACCACCATTTAGGTCACAGTATAGTATTTTCCTACTTTGGAAAAGAGCTTAATCATTTTAAAACATAAAAGACTACAGCAGTCTGTTCCACAGAGTACTTTGTACCATTGCGATCACCTGTGGATACACATTAAAACACTTTATGAGGATTAATAAATACTAGAAATACAGGCTTTGATAGTTGCCAAGTGCCAAAAAATAAAAGCAAAGCTATCGTGAGGCACAAAAAGCACAAAATGTTTTGTGCAGCATAGCCAGGGTGGTTTCATGAACAGAGGACAAAAATGCAGCCTTTTTCGGTGGCCTTAGGCTCAGAGCTGCTGAGCAATGTGGGATCCTGCTGACTTTCACGTCACCAGCACATATTCAGTACCTCCAAACAGACCAGAAAGCATCTCGTGTTCCAGCTGTACTAATTAAATAGGACATGCTGCTATTAATTAGTGAGCATAAAAATGAAAAAAGTTCAGTCCAAGAAGTTAGGTTGTTTTTCCCGGTGGTTGCTTATAGGAATGAATGTTGGACTAAATACCTCAAAAGAACCTGTAAATCATTTCTAGATAGTCCACTTACAAGGAAACATGGGTGACCGGGGATTATGCAGTAACTACACATTCAAAATTTCTGAAGTTTTCAGGGCAACAGGCAGCTTTCTGCACTCAAATGGAAAGTCAGATTATAAAAACCCAATTGGTAAGGATGAAATGTTCATTTAGGCTTAATGTTCTCTCATGAGGAGAGATCCGTAAATGGATTTTTACCCAGTTGTTGTGTACTTAATCTCTTACATTTTTTATATTCTATGTGCCCTAAATTGCTCTTTATGGATTAATCTTTGAACTCTAGTAAGCAACTTTCAATCATTCCAAAGTAAACGTAGAAGTGCCCAATGCTGTGGTTCAGCAACCCTGTGCTTATGCAAATTGGAAGCTGTCTAGTAATTTTAAAAAGCTCTTCACTGCATAGAATGATTAAAACTAATTGGAGCGCTTAATTTCTCTCCTCCACCCCTCTGGTTTTTTGGAGTGCAGTCAAGCAAGTTTCTGGAATGCTGGAACAGTTTAAGATCAAATCAGCCCAAAGGAAAGGGTTGCATTTAAAAAGAAAACCAGTTTTGCAGAAGTCAAAATAACAAGACAGGAGGCAACAAAATCTGGTGGAATGTTTGCAGGACGGTCTGTATTTCCAAAATAGAGCTTCAGCTCATGGTCAAAGAGGGTAGAGTTGTTACTGGGCACTTTTAGAGCAATATAGACACTGGGTGGGAAAAGGTAGCTTTTTTGAAATAGTGCTATTTCATAGACTCCCCATGATAACTCATTAGTTATAAGATGATCTGTCCAATTAAAGTGAAGGTCATTTCTACAGCGGCAACCTTGATTGTCCATGGTATCCTCATGCCTTCAGTGAACTTGGTGTTTTTGTACCTTGCCAGGCTGAAAGTATAGGTCAGCTAAATGATTCCTTCTTTGGATTTGTTTGGGGGGAGTTCAGTAGTCATTTTCTCCATGGGTGAAATGCATTAGGTTTTTGCTTAAACTTCTATTCAAACCCAGTTAGGGTTATTTGGGTTATTATTGAAGTTACACATCTTACATGTAATTTTCCAGTGGCAAGTAAGTACAGATATAGTTTATTATGAAGCTAGATGAAGTGAGATTTTTAGCTCATCTATTCAGAACTTCATTTTTGTTTTACACATACAAATAGTTTACTAAATCTTTGTATGGGGACTGTACGAGCAGCTCCATTATTGCTGCAGAAGTACCCCAGAGCCTCAGTCGTAGGTACTTTGCTCACAAGTTCAGAAAAGACAAGTTCAGTCAAGAAGAGCTGCTCTTTCACATCAAAGTCTGCCTTCCCTTTGCTGAATTTTCACTAGCAAATCCACGAGTAGAATTATAGCCAGTTGTAGAATTAACCTACCTAATACCTGTGAGGTTTTCTGGCACATCAAAAAAAGGCTGGGAGGTGCTTTCCTAGCTTAGTCTTTTTTGTGTGTTTTCTCTCTTCCTCGTTCATAGCACACATCTTGTATTCATCTGGAACAGCTACAACATAAAGCCACATAAGTGTCTTCCTGTCATCAAATTAACTTCCTTTATCCTTGAGGCTTGCATTTACAGAGCCCCTTTGGTAGTTCATAAAGCTGCTAGGGAACAAATGGCAATTCTGAAATCTTGTTCCAACGTGACTGCTACCCCCACGCTTCAACCTCTGAGTTACAAAGGAATGGCTTCTGATTTATTTATTCAGAGCAGCATTTTGCCACATTTAGGGTATTGCTGTGGAACATTTGTTCAAGTATGAGCCCAGATAAAATGCATGCCGGGTAATATTCAAGTCACATTTTTTTGTTGTTGTTTTTCCCTTTTAGTTTGTTGAAGTTGAAGGACAGATCACGTCATTAGTTGATCTGCACCCATCCTTCCTAAGGAAGGGTTACCGACGGGAAATCTTCATCGCTATAGTATGTTTCCTTAGCTATCTTCTGGGACTAACTATGGTGACTGAGGTGAGTAGCACCAGTGCTAGAAATTGCCTTCTTTATTATCCAGTTTCCAGACCAATTTTGGCTATGAATGAGACTGCATGGAATTAGCCATGCAGAGGAGCGCTCCTCTTTAGATCGACAGAGCGTGTTTCACCCCTAGATCTGAAAGCATTTTGAAAGGGAGCTATGTATTCCCCTGTTTTCAGCCAGAGGAAGAGAGACATGAAATCTCATTAAATTCAATTTGATCTCAGGTATTAATTAACATGAGTATGAACATTAACATCTGGCTCTAAATGATGAAACACATTGGGAACCTTCATCAGAGCAGATTAAAAATCCATGCAGTGCATGCAGGGAAAGATTTTATCTTACATAGATTTGAATCAATGTTCCAGTGGCTGCACTATTGTGATATTTATCTCTAAAATAAAATCCAAACCAGATTTTGAAAACAGCTGAAAGAGCACAATTGCGGGAGTTAAAATAGCACCTGTAATAGAGGTGCCTAACAAACACATTTTTTCAAGTAAAAGTGCAGGTATATACAGTTCAGTATAGTGAGAGCAAAGAGTCCCAACAGCATAGTATAAAGAAAGAGAGTTAGAAAAAATTAACTATTCTCATGAAAAAAGTCCTTCCTTCTGCTCAATTAATAAATGAAGATCATTCTGATGAACTGATTTCCATTTTTAGTATTTTGGAGGCGTTAATGTTAGGAGGTGACCTATTATTTCTTTACATCATTTATTTCTATAAATGCCCATCCTAAAATACTTTTAAGAAGGAAAGATTTAAGTGTCTCAGTAGATTATCCAAAGCAGCTTAATTTTGTTTAATCGTTGTCTTGTTTGGAATGCTTGCTGTAGTAAACATGCATATTCTCTGGAGAAGGTGATGCCAAATATTTACCTTACCTACTTGCTTGATACTTCTTGTTAGACAGCAATCATTAAGATATGTTGGTAGATGCTACTGGGAGCTGGCCCTGAAGTATTCAGGTTTTTTCCTGTCCTAATCCACCGTGTCTCTGTTTTACAGGGTGGCATGTATGTTTTTCAACTCTTTGACTACTATGCAGCTAGTGGTGTATGCCTTTTGTGGGTTGCATTCTTTGAATGTATTGCTGTAGCCTGGGTTTATGGTAAGTGAGAATCCTTTCATCTGATAACTTTTGATGAGTCAGTGACAATTCTGCTAGCCAAACATTTAATCATCAGCCACCCCAGAATCTTCTTCCCAGCAATAGACATATGCCATTAATCTAACTTTGCACTGAACTCTTGGAGACAAATTTGCAATTGGGATGAAGCCAGCCTCCAGTGTTTTTCCATACAAAAATGACTATTTTTCCATTGCTAATTAATAAAGGCATAATTAAGCTTTTACATGTGTTAAGTTTAGAGATGAGAGTTGAAAGTTTGGCCAGCCATGAAAATTTCTGTTTGTCTCTCAGAGAATTTCCTTTCAGAGCAGCAATGTCCACAGGCGACAAGCCAACCAAATAGAAAATACAAAAAGCAAGCTGACAGAAAAGTGTATTCTGTCCCATTACTTTTAGGTGATGCTGAGTACTAAGGTCTGATAGTAGCCTCTGTAGCTGCCTGAGATTGTAGCTGAGGAATGATCAGATGTTTGCTGCTAAGGACTGGTCATTTCCCTGATTCTTTATGTACTCCAACTCCTTAGAAAAGCAAAACAAACAAAGCCTTCATCCTGCATCAGTCAAATTTCTGTAGAAACGGGGCGTACCATTTGCTGCCATGTCCTTCCCATGGTGATCCCTCTGGCAAGTTCAGAGAGAGTCTGGGGAGAGGAGTGGGTGCGTGACAGGGGCAGGAGGGATTAGCATTGCACTCCTGCCTCCAAATAACGAGGGGTGTGTAGGATGAGAGCGTCCCCCAACCCATGAGTTTCTCAAGGAGAAAATCATGAACTTCACAGCCAGGGGAAGCATTTGAACAATACATCTGACACCCTGATCTTCCCTTTAAATACCCCTTGGGAGGGCTAGGAAAGCAGCTGTAATCCTACAGTCCTTACACGGCTTTTATATGCTCGATTCTGATAAATGCACTCGCTGTCCTTTACAGGCGCTGATAATATTTATGATGCCATTGAGGATATGATTGGATACAGACCTGGTCCCTGGATGAAATGGAGCTGGATTGTGATCACACCAGTTCTTTGTGTGGTGAGTACTGACCAGTGCTCTTTCAAGTCTTCCACGTGGCAGCTCAGAGCCACCTCTCGCTGCTTCTCTTCGAGTGAAGGCCACTGCATTCAGAGATACACCAATTGGCAGAGAGATGCTGGAGGCTTGAACACACCCCTCAATGGCATCATATTCTTAGATGTTAGTTGTTAATGTGACAGTTCTCTACTGTACCTGTGCAAATTGCAGTTGGCTACCTTTGAGTTGATTTTTCTTAGGATTGACAAAATACTACATTCGTGACACAGAAAACTCACTCTCCAAAGAGCAGTCCCAGCTTAAAGTGATAGGACTACTAGGCCATTTTAACAAAAAGATGTGAGCAGTCTGAGGCAGGCGCTCAGCTTGAAGTATTTCATTTGCTGCGAAGAACATCCCAGTAACCTCCTTCCAATGTGCAGCAAATATCTGAGCCCTGAAAAAGATCAGGCTGCGTACTGCAGCTGCTCAGCACCATTGCTTAACGCCCTATTGTCAAGCAGCAGTTTACCTATAAGCAAATGCAGATGCTCTTCCAATGGTTTAAATGGAAGAATAATTCCCCTATTGTTTTAAAATACATATGGTATCCATCAGCTCTGCCTTTCACTGCCTGTTTTCCTTTCTCATCCACAGGGGTGCTTTATCTTTTCTTTGGCCAAATACAAACCACTGACCTACAACAAGGTCTACACATACCCAGACTGGGCAATTGGCCTGGGCTGGGTTCTTGCCCTTTCCTCCATGATCTGCATCCCTATGGTGATGGTCATCCGCATCATACAGTCAGATGGGTCGCTTATTGAGGTAAGAGCAACGGTTGTCTAGAGGAGAAAGGGAGTTTTGACTTGCTGTGTTTTATACAAAATAAGCACAATGCTTGGAAAACTGCCACCGTGTCCAGGTAGGGCAAAGTTGGGTGCCTCTCCTGCAGTGAATGCAAATAAGACTGTTAAAGATCACCTGTGCTTTGGGCAAACAGTAGAAACAGAACAAACACAAAGCCTTCTGTCCTCAGACAAACACCAGGTGATTTTACTTGCATCCCATTTCGGCAGTTTCCAGCTTGGCAAATCATTGCCTCCGCGTGCAGACAAGCGCTCAAGGACTGGAGTGCTTCTGAGTGCCAGATTTCTCTTTTCCAACCCATGGGGACAAGGAAGCACCTTGCCACAAAACACTGAGAAAACTAAAGTGAGGAAAGAGAGAGAGACAGACCTGGGTCAAACCTGGCTGTGTAAGACCTCATTGAATTTCAGGGGAATTCAGATCCACTTGTGGATTATGTGGCTCTCACACATGGCCTTTGCTCTGGGGTACTGAATAAAAGTCAACCTCTCCTGCCAGTGGACTTCACTTTTTAGCTTTTTTTTTTTTTTATTCCTAATGAGTCAAATTGAAACACTGGATCCAGATTGCCCTGAGCTTTGGAAAACTCTGGGTCGGATTCAGACTTGATAGTGCAGATTCTTTTGAGTTTGGATTTGCAGATAATCTCTTGCCCTTTGCAGTTCAGCACAGGCTCCCCTGATCTGTTTTTCTTCCAGAGCAAAGTTTTTAGAGACTGTGCAAGCATGAAAATTAGCAATTCTCTTCTAAGGTTTCAGATTAGTTTTGTTTTTGCCTAATGAGACAGTCTTAAATGCAGCCTAGGGTATTCTTGGAGGAGGAAGTGGGACACTTCAGGTTAGGAAATAAGAGAAAATTGAATAAAAAAAGAACATTTCCCAGTGAATAAATGCTTGCATTTGTTTTCATCCAAGTGTTAATGGTCTTTTTCAGCTGTGGCCAGAGCATTTTCATGAGTGTTTATTTTCCTGCCTACATTGTCACCATCAATTGAGAGACAAGTCTAAAAGTAGCCAAAACACTCCACAAAGACCATGTTAGGAAAGGAAAGAGAGTAAACACTGGTCAGATGCCATTTAGTCCTTCCTTTGTGTACTGAGATGTAGGAGAGAAGTTGCCGCTTGGCAGTGAATGGCTGGGCTAAAAGGCAGAGCTGTTTCTAAATGCAGAAGGAGAAGGCACGTAATTTGCGCAGCAGCTGCAGCACTGAAAGCCCAACGTGCAGGATGCTGGATAACGCCGTGAATGTCCCCTGGTGTCTGGCTCGCCTGCCTCAAGGCCGGCTCTGCAGCTGAGCAGAAGTTGAACGCAGCGCTCCGCGGCCCGGGTCCCCACGTCCTCACTGAGCCGTGCGACCTGCGCGCGTCTGACGGCCCCCAACCCCACCCTCGGCTCGCCACACCGACACGGGGGGCCCCTTGGTCCTCTAACCTTTTCTTTTTTTTCTTTCTTTCTTTCTTTCAGAGGATAAAAGCGGTGGCTGCCCCCAAGGAAGTGAATCGGTGGTCCAAAGAAACGGAGAGTGGCACCCCCTTCTGCCCCAATGGAACTTCGAATGGCGGATTGATCAAGCCAACTCATATCATTGTGGAAACCATGATGTGAGCTCTCTCTGTGAGAGGATAAACCTGCTTTAACTGCCGTTTACTAACCATAGATTCTCATAGGACCAGGTTTACAGAGCTTTATATTTGCACTAGGATTTATTTTTATTTCTCACAGAGAAAGTTATTTTTTGTGTGTGTTTTTTTTTTAATATTTTGTAAGGTAATCACAGCAGATGCCTCTCTGTAGAGGGAGAGCTTTCATATCAGACTAGACATATTACAGGAATTTACTATTATTGGGTTTTTTTAAATATATATATCTTTATCTCTAAATATTATACACCTTACCACTTGAATTGATTGTCTTGCCAGCAATACATTCAAGTCTCAGAAAGCAATTTTAGGTGCTGGTATGGTTGGGAGCAGGGTAACATACAGAACACACATAAGGAGCTCTGTTGGGAGATATGATTAAAAAAAGAAGACACTGTTTCAAGAGAATTTTCAAAGGTGTAGTATTTCCACCCTCTGGTTCAATTGTGGTAAACGACGGGCTTCAGGGTCACATTAGGGAAAGGGTACAGTTATGTTTATCACAGTCCCTGAATAAAGATACAGCTGGGAAGCTGGCGTAGGATTTGCAAGGGAGGCAAAGAAGTTGGGTGTGAAAAGCCTTGCAGCTGTGCCTCCCAAGCATGGCATTGGGACCCTGTCACACAGGTGAGAGGAAGACTTTAGGAAGGTGTTTGCAGGATTTGGCATGGTTCACTTTTTTTTTTTTCTGTTTGTTTGTTTTTTGGTTTTTTTTTTTTTTAGTTTTTTTTGGATTTTTTTACTTAAGTGAAATGCCTGCTGTTTGCGCATGGGTGGTGAGGTTGAGTACCTGCTCCTGAGTTTTCTAGCAAAGCATACTTCAGTGTGGTGGCACTGGTGTAAACTTGAATTCTGCAAACTGGGAGGGGCAGCCTCTCCCGGGGGTGAGTGCTAAGGAGCTGGGAGGGGAAAAGCAGCACCCGCCTTCTGGGTGCTTCAGATGTTCGTTTGCTCATTTGTTTGCTTGTTAATTATTGGACTTTGGTTTCAGGCAGAAAAATAAAAGAATCCCTTCTGGATTCTGACAGTCCAAAGGTGAACACAAACCAGGTCATCCCTGACAGGAGGAACAAAACCACTCACCTACACCTGGTGTAACTGGTATTTATAACAGACACATTGTTAATAATAATAGTAAAGAAGATAATAATATCACTCAGCAAACAGGTGCTTTTCATCCATGTATCTCAAAAATGCTTTGCCAAGTTCAGTAACCAGGATTTGCTTTATTTATTTATTTTTAGGGCAGGGGGTTCGTCACTGTTGGGGGAACATACAGAAGGACTAAGTCCCTTGTCCCATGTTACTAAATAGCAGCAGTAGACCTAGAGCCCTCAGTCTCCTTGCCCATCATTGTGTTAAACCATAATTTTATTTTTTTTTTCGGGGGGGTGGAGGGTGGCAGACATATTTATGAGGCTTATGAATCTTATCTGCTGAAGAAACAGGGCTTTTGGGATTTTAAGTTAAAGCAAAGGGAACATGTAACACTGAAATACTTTGTATTTGGTCAGAAGGAATTGTGTACCATTCCAGGTTAGACTGGGGAGTGAAGAGAAACCACTACAGGGAGTGTAGGAACGGGATTTCTGTTTCGTGTGGGCCGGGTGGACATTTCTGTGGGGAATTGCTCCCTGAAGACTGTCCAAAACAAGGGCAAAAGCTTTGGTTTTGGTTTTGTTTGTTTGTTTGGGTTTTTTTTTGTTTTTTTTTTTGTTTGTTTTTTGGGGTTTTTTTTGTTTTTTTTTTGGTTTTTTTTTTTCAAAAAAAACTTGAGCAGGTTGTGCTGGGAACAGGTTCTCTGGCAAAACTCAGCCTTTCCTTGTGGCCATTGTATTAGAGGGAGAGGTTTTTTCTTCTTACGATACCACAGTTAGGCTATCCAAAAGTAAATAGAGGAAATGCTTGATAAAAGCAGAGTTTGTATCTGCTTATTCTGCTGTCAGCATAGTCTGTCAGGGCAGAGTTTGTCATTTAAACAGGAACATATCCAGTTCTTAACATTCCTACACAGTAGTTTTATTTTATTTTTTTCTTTTCTTGTCCCATGGGCTAACTGGCCACAGCAGCACAAAAACTTATTGATTAGCTTGTTGGTTTTCCTGTAACAGAAAAGGGATGATTTAAAACTAAGAGATGGACCAAAATAATTAAAACCAAAACAAAACACAAAAAAGTGGCTGCATCTGTAGCTTTCAAAACCTTTCTAGTTAGAATTTGTACACATTTTTACATTAGATAGCTGAGTTACAGAAACAAAACCAGCCACGGCAGAATTGCTTTTGTTTTTTTCTGCTGGTTGCTGTATTATGAGAGTTACAAGTGAAACTTTTCCACAGCTGGAGATGGCAAACATCTAATGACACCTGCTGGGCCAGTGGCTGTAGCCATCTGAAGGTCACTGGAGGAATTCTGTGAGCCAGTGGGTGTCATCAGATGTGCCCAAATTAAAGAGACATGCGTACATCTAGTTTTATTATATTTTTTAATAGTCTTTAACCATCAAAGGCAAGGAAACGTAATCAACGATAACTCTCTTAATGGGCTCCAGCTTGAACCCTTGTTTTTGAGTTATAGTTAGTGTCTGCAGTAAACAGGCACGCTTGCCTGGGTGTAGAGGGAGTAGCAGGTAAAGGGGTCTAAATTAATGGTTTCTGTGAGTGCAAATGAAACATTGAGTCTTGATTTTTATTTTTTTTATATATATATATATATGCATTGTCATAAAACTGTTTGAGATATAGTTTGCACATCACTTTTGTGCCATAGAGCTGAGACAAGCTTTAGGGAAAAAATTGGTTTAGCTACATCAAAGATGTCTCCAGCGAGTCAGCTGGGTATTTAGCGATCTCCCACATTGTGTGGAGTGTCTTTGTGTGAAGAACCAGAGGGCTAATACTACACCTTTAAAGTACAACTACTAGAGAACTAGAACCCAGCCCCATTTTGGTATGAACTGTGCCATTCAAATCAGTCGCTTCCATGTACCAAGTGAAAATGTCTCGCACATATGCAACAACCTCGTTGAAGCGTTCTCTATGTCAACTTCTCTGGCCCTGCTGTGCTCTTTAGCATGACTGCAAGGGAGGGCTGGGACTCACAAAGAGCTAAGAAATTACTGTTTCTGGAAAGCAGTTCCCCTCTCCCTTTTTCCCACCCCTCCCCAAAAAATATATAAATAATTAATTCTTGTTTTATCTGGGGTTTGAGTTCCAATGAGCACACTCACATTTTTACAGTTTCTGGATTTTTCCTAACATTTTTATCAGGTTTCTGAACTTTTCTTGGTGATAAATTTGCATTTCAATATGATCCTCTGCCAAATTTATTAAAAAATAATTTTTAAAAAAGTCTGTGTTTTCTACCTATTTCTGACTGCAAATACAACTGATTTTTTTTTCCTAATTTACTTGTTTAAACACTTGTGACCTTTTTTACCTGTTTTATGTAAATGAGGAACTATATATTAAAATGCCATGACTAGTCATAGATGAACTGGTTTGGATCCAGGGAAAACTTAGTGCAGTTTTGGCATGAGCTCTTTAGAAGTACATCCCTGAGTTTAAAACCAGAATAAAACAAGCCAAAACCCACACCTTTCCATATTTTATGTACCTTTGTATTCATGGGTTCTTCTGGGCTTGAAAACGGCAGAGTTTCAGCAGTATTTCTTTCCATCTGAAATGAAATCAAGAGATAGTAAAAATGTAAAGGGGAACATTTACCCCACAAGATTCTCCAACCCGTTTCTTGCTTTTCCCAATTTTCCAAACTTTTTCAGTCTACCTGTCACTAGTTATGATCTCACTGAATGAGCATCTATTGTAAGGGACTTTACCAGTAGTCTGTATTTCAGTATTTAAACAGTATGATTTCATAAATAGAACTGGTTTTTATTGTGTTATTCTCATTTTCCTTGTGATCCGTAGCTTTCCTTTTCATCTGGTCCAAACAAATTCACACACTTTGAAAAGTCCTCTTTAAAGTGTGAGATAGTAGGTCCACAATGGATTTGTTCTTGTGTTGTAAATGAAAATGCAAAAGCCTAGCAGCTGTATTTGCCATCGAGAACAACGCTGGTGGTCACCCCGCAGCAGCAGCACAGCTCCTGGAGTGGAGGGGGGTTAGGAATGGTCTGATGAAACAGCTCAGCAAAACTGATTTTCGCTGCTGTTCTTGGGGAGGGGAGGAAAAGAAAAATCATGGTGCAGCTTTAGGGTTGCTGTAACACAAAAAAAAAAAAAACAAAACCCCAACAACCACAAGCAGAGCATTTAATGTCACCGTCAGGATAGCATCTTCTGCAGCTGTTTTCAGTCCTGTGTGCATCCTCCTTTCTCAACTGCAGACACTCCTGGTTCCTCTTCTCTGTCTTAGCATTAGACAAGTCCAGTAGATCTGAAGACACATGGACATTTCCATTCAATAGGCCCTTTACAAGTCTCCTCCTAGTGTGTTTTTATTTTCTAAGGAGACTTAAGAGTTTTGGTGAGGTCATGCGTGTCACACTTGGGTTCAAAGCTCCCACTTACTGCATCAATGGCAAAACTTCATCCATGGGAGTAGGATTTGAATGTTTTTGAATAACTGATTATTAGCTTCCATGTCTCGTGGTCACTGCAGGATCACTCATGGAGGCATAATGTATATAAAATGTTAAATAAGCTGTGTGTTGAATGGAGTGGCCAAGTTAGTTAAGCAGCTCAAGTACACTTGGAAGAAAGATGACCCTGACATCATTTCCAGGAGATTCAATGGAAGTTGCTCACTTTCAGTAAAAAAAAAAAAATAAATAAATCTGTGTTTAAGTAGACTAGTAGATGAAATCTTCCACCATCATATGCACGCACACAAGTGGGAACATTGCTTCTATTCCTCGGCTGCAAATCGTGTGTAAGTCTTGTAGAGCTCTTTAGGATGAGGATTGGGAAGGTTTGGTCACCCCTTGCCTGCAGAGAGCCAACCTGCCAGGTTGTCCAAATGGCCTTTCCTAAATTAGGGGTGGTGGAAGAGAGACAGTAACAACAAAATCCTGGATCAGGGTCCCTCTGAGGAGGCCTTAAGGTTGGACTTGGAAACTCTCCTGTCTCCTTATAAGCGCAACGTGGCTTCTGGTATGGGAGCTTGGCTGTGGTGTGGGCTCAGGCAGCTGCCTTGGACTTGTTTTCTCCAAAATCAGCATCCAAAGCCTTGTGGCTAGGATTGATGTGTAGTTGTATAGTTGTATGTTCGCCTGATTAAAGGTCAGGAACTGTCAGACCCTAGTATCTTGCTTTATTTCTTGTAATCAAAGCTAAGATTAAGAAAGACACTATTCAGATGATTTGGTGACAGTTGACACCTAAGTAACCCATGAACTAGTGCAAAAAAGGACTTCCTGAGCTCCCTACTTTGGTCACAAAAATTTTCTATAGGTATCAATCGTCAATTTGAGTTTATGGGAAAGCTTGCTCAAGAAAGACTTGATCATAACCAGCCCAAGCCCCCAGCTGGAAAACTGCCCATTCAAGCCCTGCACCCTCCACCAGATCAAGACTTTTTTGCCAGCCCCAAAATAATCCTATACATGAACAATGCGTCTCTGCTTTTGAAGAAAAAATATTAAAAATATCTGAATGTGTTTGTTTCTATTAAAAAATAAACAGAAAAAGTCAAATTTTTGTGTTTTTTCCAATTGTCAGTGTGAATTGGTGATTTCAATTTACCCATGTCCTAAAACAAGAGCAGAAAAAGCTTCAGACACCATTTGACCAAAAAAAAGACAAGCTCAAAATTTTGCAGGTTGAAAACATTAAGAAAACAAATCACACCCCCATCACAGGTGGAAAACTTTAGTGACAGATTTGCAACTGGAAAAGAGCCTGACCCTGCTTATATTGCTGGGCTATTGAATGGCAGAGCAGATATAGCTTTTTTATATCGCTGATATGTCCTAGTTCAAAATAATCAGTAAAAGCATCAGAATTTAATCACCACAAGTTTTACACAGCCCTGACCTTTAGGAGTAAAGCAAATTAAAGACATTTTTAAAAGGAGTGAGTTTCTGCAGGCTTCTTCCCCATGGTTTGTCTCTGCAGTGGACAGCAGGACAGGGCTGCTTGCTTTCCCATTTGCAGCACAGGGAAAACATGGTCCGACTTAAAAAATCAGAAGAAATAATGGGGAAAAATATAGTTTAAAAAAAGAAAAAGTGAAACTTGGTTATGCTAAGGAGCTGTGCATGTGTGGTTTTGTGTGTGTGCATATGCAGGGGAAGGCTTCAGTCCTGTAGCATAGTACATGTTAGCATGATACATATTGTTTCTAAATCTATCTGCTGCTGCAGTTGAGATGTTAAAAAGATTTTATTTTTGTTTTCAATATATAAAGAAAAAAAATTAGAACAGTGGCAAAATCATGTTGAGAGGCTAAAAAAAAAAAAAAAAAAAAATCCTTGGGGGCAAGTTGAGTCAGTTTGTCATCTGCTCCTGTTCTGGAAGCCAGCGATGGTCTCTCAGCATTGCAGCATCCCAGTACTGTTCTGAAGTGCTCGTTGTTCAATAGGATGTTGTTTTTCTCCAGTGTAATGTTGTGATTGTTACCTGATAACGTTGCCAGGGACTTCACGTTGTAAGAGGTGGTCCATCTTGTTTGATGTATTTGGCTAAAAAACAGTGGTGGTTTTTTATTATTTAAATTCCTAGCAACTGTGACAACAGTAATGTGATGAGTAGCACATACAGCAAGGAGGTGATGTCAATGATGGCCTCCTTAAAAATGTCATCTGAACTTTTTTTTAAAAAAAAAAACACCTTAAAAAATATTTTTAAAACATTTTAAAACATTTTTTTGTGTGTTCCAAAACGGAATATTTGTATTTGAAAAAAATCCTGGAGTGTAATTTAATCCTAAAAAAACTAGCCTTTGTGTATATGGTAAATGTTTGTATTTTGCAGTTTCTGTTTTGCTTTTTAGAGAAATAAAATGTATATGGATATTTTTAAGTCATCTTTGCTTTTTTAGATGAGTTTGTAATCACCTTATAATTGAAAATAAAACTTTCCTTTATAAACCAGCTATACTCTTGGATGCTTTTTATGGTCTTTGAGAGTATCCATTCTCCCTTTAAACCTATTAGTTATTGTAGGGTTGTTGCTTTGGGTTTGTGGGGGTTTTTTTGTCCTTATAATCTATTCCATTTCATATATATAAACAAGCCTAGCTCACTAAGCTACTTGGCCCAGCTCACTATTTGACTGCACGCCTGTCATGGTTTTACCCCGGTCAGCAGCTCAGCCCCAGACAGCTGATCGCTCACACCCTCGCCCTACCAGAAGGGTAGTAGTGCAACAATTCATGGATTGGGATATAGACAATTTAATAATTAAAAATAAGGAGGAAAGAAAAAAAAAAAAAAAAAACAAAAACAAAACACCAAAGAAAAAAAAAAAGGCAACAAAAAAAAACTAACAACAACAAAAAAAACCAAAACAAAACAAACAAACAAAAAAAAAAAACAAACAACAAGCAAATACAACAAAGAAGGAAAAAAAAACAAGAAAAATTGCTGAGCACACCCGCATATGGTGTTATGGTGCGGGGTATCACTTCGGTCATGGGGATCTGGGGGGGGGGGCAGCAGGTCCAGCTCAGTCCCCTCCCAATTTCTTGTGCAGTCCCAGCTGACTCTGGCAGGGCCATCTGAGCCACAGAAAAGGCCTTGGTGCTGTGTAAGCAAGAGCTAAACCATCACGGGGTCATCAGCAATGGTTTGGTTTGTTGGGTGCTTCCCCCCCCCCCAGCAATGACTTTGGCTGAGCGTGACGAAGGGTCAGTGCTGGTCCCACCCCACGGCACTTCAGTCTTGCCCAGCCTGTGGCCTCACTTTGCTGGTGCTTTGCCCCAGACCAGCTTCTCACCAAGGATAGTTGGGCATCTGCTGAGTCTTACAAGGCCATGACACAGCTGGCTTTTTTTTTTTTTTTTTTTTTTTTTTTTTTAACAACCTCCTTTTCCCTCTTTTTTCCTTTACTTTCTTTGACAAATAGAGTGCTGATGTCATCACAGCTCTGTCCCTGCAGACACCAGCTTTCCCTGTCCCCATCACAGGGGCACAGGGAGACATTTGCAGCTTTATGACTTGCCATTGGGCTGAGCACTGCCCCAACTCAGCCCATCCCAGCTCATTGCCTGCTGCTGGCTGTACCATCTTGGCTGCATGGCACCATTACTGGGTGGGTGTGGGGGGGAGGGTGGGTGTGGGGGAAAAAAACAACACACCCCCCCCACACACACCCCACCCCCCTTTATTTTCCTGGTGTATGGGATTAGTCAGTTCAGGCTCGCTGATGGCCTGTTTAAACAGCTGAAGGTTAACCCAGAGAGGTCTTAAGTCCTGATATGCAGTAAGGAAAGAAAAAAACCTCAACATGTAGGTGGCTTCTATTTGCGAAAAGTAAACCATTCATGCAGCAGGCCCCGATCACTGCTGAGGCGTGTGCCCCATGCCCAGGACTAGCCCCACAGCTGTCTTTATTTGGGTTTTTTTTTTTTGGCTTGGTTGGTTATTTTTCTGGGTGTCATTTGACAACTTTGACAGGGATTTCTCCTCCCATTGGCAAAACCTGTACTGAGCTGACCGATAGAAGCACAGACAGCAAGAGCAACGTGCCTCAGGTTAAAATAATTAAACAAATAATTAAAAAGGCCACTAAAAGTGACACGAGCTGCCACCGAAGGGTTTCATCTACCTGCCATGAGCAATTGCCACCTGCCCGTGGTTGCAGCCGGCTCAGCCGTGGTCCGTGGGATGGAGGGTGACATTAGGAGGATCCGCTGCCCACCGAGGTGACCGGCAGCGCATACCAGGGGAGCAGCATGGTGCTAACCTTCTACCTTGTGTACGCACCGACACGCCATCGGTCACGTTGCACGGGCGCTCGTGCAACCTGCCGTCTCCCCAGCCCCTCAGTTAGCTCTGCACCGCCTTGGCAAGTCCCCAGTGCCAAATGTGCAAAGGGCCTTCTTCTGAAGTCTGTGCCTCAGGAAGGCGGCCAGAGATGGCAGATAAGACTTGTTTACATGGCAATGATTCCCCAGGTCTAACCAGGAGCATTTCCATACCATGCTCAGCCTCTGAAAATTCCTGCATTACCCACTTGGCCATGAAGGGTTGCAAAACCCAGCTCACCCTTTCCATGCCGGTGAGCAGATTCCCTACAGCCTTATTCAGGAAGCATCCCAGCCTGTGCCGTGCACGCTGGGAGCACAGGGATGCCCCAAACCCCTTTGTAAGAGCAAACAAATCCTCAACACAAGGAACTACGTTCTGGTTTGTGGCAATCATCTCTTTGAACATCTGGTTTCAGAGGTGGGATGATTTGACTACCGCAGTGTGACTCCCCAAAGCACCCCACTACAGCTGCAGGGTGCTGAGCACCAGAAGGGACACCTCCTGCCAGCACATCAGCCTCCAGCAGTTTCCTAACTCATCCCCAGGGATTAATCACAGCTTTGCAAATGCTGCTACAGCCACATCACGACCGCCATGTGCTTTGCTGCATCAGTATTCTGTCATGAAGTAGCCCAGGTTTAACCCAACAAGATTTCCCGTGAGGCCAAGTGAAGCAGAAGGCGACGCTGTAAGCACATACAGCTAAGAGCTGCAGCAAAAGCGCCTCCGTGTCCACAGGGAGGGAAATGAACCAAGTCCCACTGCCAAATGGTGGCAAGGGACGACCCCAGCCCTACAAGCAGTGGTCTCCCCAGGAAAAGCCCCTGTGTGCCCTCCCGCCTCGTCCTTCAAGGTGTCTCCTAAATGAGGGTCCTCTGGCAAGTTAAAATAGGGCTGGAAGCAGTGTTGCCTCAGTGTCGCTCTCTAGCACAGACACAAACCAAAACAAATGCATTTAATTTGCTTTTATTAAATTAAAAAAAAAAAAAAAAAGTCAAAGTCATTGCAATCCCATTTAAATACAGAGATTTACAAATAGGTCCAAAACAGGACTAAAATATTCTTTGAAATGCTGTACTTCTTTTAAATATTGTGCTTTCATAGATACATAAGAAAATTAGCATATAAAAATACTTTACAAGGAATACACTCTAATATATGGATAAAAATACACATTTAAGTAATGCATTTCATCTTCATATCATTCAAAATGCATAGGAAGGGATACAAGGACCAAGTTTTTCTTCCTCTTTTTTTTTTAAAGCCTTTATTAAAAGTCTTCATTAAAAACCTATGAGAAGCCCCAGTGAGCTTCCACTGCTCAGAATATTGCATATAAAAACACTTTCGGCTGCACTGTCAATGCTCCACAGTATCAATTATGGCACATTATCTAGTTGTGGCAGCAATGGTATGGGATATTGCATACTCGAAGAGAAAATGGCTACAACAACAAATAGCTGAATGGGGCTGGGCACGTGTCTGGAAGAAACACCCTGATACGCTGCACTATCATGGACGGACGGAGTCATAAAGTGGCTCGGGGAGAGATGGCGAGGGGGAGTCCTGGCTCAGCAAAGCGACAAATGTGTGTTGCACACCCATCTGACACCCTACGCACACCACCAGCACACAAGCGGTGATGGAGGAACCGAAAGGGTGAGGGGGGGAACAGGGGTGGTGGGCGCCGGGGCTGCGGCGGTCGACCGAGCGAGCTCCTCGTCTCCGCCGCGCCCAAGCCGCCCAGGGAAAGCGATGCCAGGCTCACGCCACCACCGGAACATGAACGTCATCATAAAGTGCTAATACATGAAACGTGGCAGGCAGACGAGGAAACTGATGCAAACATCACAGCCCCTCTTCCCCGTGGGGCTGGGGGCTCGCGGGAGGGAGGGCAGCAACCATGGGCGTCATGCTTGCAAAGCCACGGAGAGGCCAGCGACAGGCGAAGGCAGGCAGACCGGGGGCGGGCAGCCGAACCCACGTGGGCACACACACCGCCCAGCCCACGCAGGACACACAGGGACACAACCTCCATCTAATGAAGGGCTTCTCATGTCATTGCCTGACAGGAGACGACAAGGTTTTATTAATTCAAAGCGTCGAGGACAGCCCTGGGAAGATCGCTGTTCTGCTATTTACTTGCAGGCACAGGCCAGGTTTGAAAGAGATCTCCAAAAACCCTGGACAAACACGGTGGCTGGGGATTTGGGCAGGTATTCAAGGCCTTTAGCCTTGGGTACAGCCTTCTGCTCTGTAATAACTACTCCAGCACAGGTAACTACATTGCTCATGGGAATCAATGGTGAGACGAGGCGCCTCATCCCACCACAGGCGAGCCAGCCCTGGCAACAAGCAGGGACCAGGCTGGTAGGAGGCAGCTGCAAATACCAATTTTTGATCAGGAATTGCATCTAGCCACTCTCAAGCACATTTTGAGATGTCTTTTAAACGGGGTTCTCCACAGCCCTGCACGAGGAGTGCAGGGGGCTGCGGAAATCGATTTATCAGGAGTGTTTGAAGGATGGAGTTGGGCACAACAGAAAAGGAACGGCGGTTCAGTCTTGCTGTATGCGATTAACCAAGCAAATAAGAAACATAATAGCACCATGTGTGTTTATAGGATGGCCAAGGCCTTCAGGGTGAGGAGGATGTCAGAGGCAGGACCCCACACGCCCCAACAGCCAGGGCACAAGGCGATGCCCTGCCACGGGGGATGGCTGTGGGTGCTCCTTCCTCCCGTCGGCAGCTCGCCCCATTGCCGGTGCTGCCCACGGCCCGAGATGCGCGTCCAGCTCTGACCTTCCCAGCAGTATTTGGTGGTCTACAGGCTCACTGAAGACCCACCTCCCCACTTGCAGGTTATGGTACACATAGCATTTACAAATACCAGTGCAAAAAACAGGAAAAACACCCCAAATACCACAACGGCTCAGCAGAGGCCCCAGGCACTGTCTGCTCAGAGCGTCTGGACGCTCGCCTTGACCTCGGCGCCGCGGGCTACCTGCGCCGGCAGCTCTCTGCTCCCCTCCGGGGGAGCGCTGGCAGCCAGCGCCAAGGGGTTTCGGCTAATCACCAGGTCCAGCTTATCTCCAGCCTCCGAGATCAGGGGAACAGCCAGA